AATTAAGCAACTTTAAAGTAAAACATTTTCAGATGCAAATCAATAACAAAACGTAACTCTGTTGCTGTCTTTTTTCAGCTGTGTAAAATTGTTTTTAGCCTAATAATGTAACATATTAGAAAGAGAAACTCTTACAACTGATTTTTACAATTCCTAAAACAATAATAGCAAATTTGATGACATAGAAACTCATAGCTGATGTGCATTAAAACTGTAGGTAAGACAACCAGCCTTGAAATCCATGAAAACTGCTTTATTCTATCAAGTCTGCCTCCAGACACTGAATATACATTCCAGGTCAGTTTGAAATCTGTTATCTGGCAACAGGTGAATAGGCATATATAGTATTTAATTTAAATGTGTGACAAGAGGACAAGTGTGTGTACACATTTAAAATTGAAAGCTGGCCATTTTGTTGAAGTTGTTTCACCAGTGAACATCTCAAATGTAGAGCTAAATAAGTTTTATATATTTTGTTTGATAACCATTTCTATCCTTTGTGTATATTAATTGTGTTGTTGTCTTTTTATCTGTTTTTTTGTACATACGCTGTTTTCTCCCTCACTTTAAAGAGTCTAGATCATATTACCTGATGTGACTCTTAATCACTGTTCAAACAACAGGGAGCAGGAATCCTATTTGACCATATTTCCAATTAATTTCAACAAACAATTGCGGCACAAATTGGTCTGTTGTTGATTAGAATCACTGTACTGTATACATGTGATCATGCCCTATCCACGACAATGGTTGTTGCCCTTTGGGTGACCATTCCGGACAGCCAAGCTTTCTATACAAGGCAGGAAGTGCCAAGAGACACTATAATAAGTGTCTGTATTCTCTCTTTATAGGTGTTTGCCCTGACAAGTATGGGGCGAGGAGAAGCAGCCATTATTACGACAGCCACTGATGACCTAGGTTGGTGAGAAAATAAAATACATCACATATCATTTTCAGCAAAAAATGATGATGTGCCTATTTGTTGATCAATGTTGATCATAGTGTTTTGAGCAAGCACATTCTCTTTTAAAGCATCAATGTCACAGTATTTTAAGTCATTTTCTGATATACTCTTAAATAAAGAAAACCTCAAAATAATAGTTTCCTTAGGTAGGAATGAACCAGAAATAAACAAGAATAGCTACGACTCATGGACAGTGTCAGGCTCTCTCAATTTTTGATGGATTCCTGTCTGTTTTGTTGAACAAAATTAAGCCATATTGTTGGAGTGGATATTCTGTATTAAAAATAATCTTTNTGATGTGACTCTTAATCACTGTTCAAACAACAGGGAGCAGGAATCCTATTTGACCATATTTCCAATTAATTTCAACAAACAATTGCGGCACAAATTGGTCTGTTGTTGATTAGAATCACTATACTGTATACATGTGATCGTGCCCTATCCATGACAATGGTTGTTGCCCCTTGGGTGACCATTCCGGACAGCCAAGCTTTCTATACAAGGCAGGAAGTGCCGAGAGACTCTATAATAAGTGTCTGTATTCCCTCTTTATAGGTGTTTGCCCTGACAAGTATGGGGCGAGGAGAAGCAGCCATTATTACAACAGCCACTGATGACCTAGGTTGGTGAGAAAATAAAATACTTCACAAGTCACTTTCAGCAAAAATGATGATGTGCCTGTTTGTTGATGTTGATCATAGTGCTTTGAGCAAGCCCATTCTCTTTTAAAGCATCAATGTCACAATATTTTAAGTCATTTTTTGATATACTCTTAAATAAAGAAAACCTCAAAATAATAGTTTCGTTAGGTAGAAAAGAACCGGAAATAAACAAGAATAGCTAGACTCATGGACAGTGTCAGGCTCTCTCAATTTTTGATGGATACCTGTCTGTTTTGTTGAACAAAATTAAGCCATCTTGTTGAGGTGGATATTCTGTATTAAAAATAATCTTTCAATTTGTTGTCACTCTCCTTTTCAGCATCACATGCTCCACCTAAACCAGTTGTTCAGGTGCTGGGACGACATGAGCTGATGGTAACGTGGGAGAGTCCTCCTAAACCACTTGGAAGAATAAATAGCTATGAAGTCAGAGTTGATGACATGGTATGTTATTTGAAAAAGAAGTTGGTTGTTTTAATTTAAGGTGGCTCCCTATAGCTTTACGATCGCACAAGCGCTGAGGAAGCAATCTGCGCACGCTCAAAGGTAAACGTCAGTGTTTTTCGATATTTTATTATGTCAACATGAGCACAAAAAGCAAAACTGACAGTGAGTTTTCTCGCGTTTCCTTCGGTGAAATTCTGTAAAATTTGGCAGATTGGTAGTAAATATTTTACTTCAGGCGGAGCTCGTTTTTCAGGGAAATCTATAAGACCAGATTTTTTGCAGCGGTAAGAGACAAATTTGAAAATATCGAAAAAACTGCCTT